AGCTCCTGTCTGTGCTCCTGCACACTGAAGATGCCGGTCACAGGAGCTGGCGAAACGTTAGGAAACAAAACTTCCAGAACACGGCCACACAGCCTGGAAGACCCACACCAGTCATCAGTTTTAGGTATGTTCGCCGCCTTGAGTTATTTATAAAAATAATAAAGGCAGGATAACTCTGCCAACTCGTGTGGGGTGAGAAGGGATATAACCACCCCTGGGGGTGGCTGGCACCTTGAAGACATTCCCCGAGTCTAATAGTTAACATCAGTTCCTTAGAAGCTATTTATTTATTTTTATAGAGGAATCTTGCTGTATTTTATCCTTTTTATTGTAAACCAACCAGAGTCACTCTATAGTGAGATGGATGGTGACAAATTTGAAATATAAATAAATAAATAAAAGATCTAAAGAACAAGAAGAAAATAGAAAAAAAAGAGATAAATATAAAAAAAGATATAAAGAAGTAGCTTTCAATATTCTTCACAGCAATTATAAGTACAATTATATTTTAACCTCTCTCTCTAAAGTTATATTATGACTCTCTTTTTTCTACAATCTATCCTGTCTAATCATCAAAACCATAAATCACAAGTTCATTTTTTTTTCATTTTTATGCAAAAAGTCCTTAAGGGGTTTCCAGTCACCAATAAATGTAGATATTGTCCTTTCTCTAATGAAAGAAGTCAGATTGTCCATCTCAGCAATTTCTGTCAATTTCACCAACCATTCCTCCACAATGGGTACAGTAATGCCAAATCTTTCCATCTTTGTGCATATAGTAATCTCACCGCAGTAATCATATATTGAAATAATCTTCCATAGCTTTTTTCCAACTTTTTGTTCATCAATCCTAAAAGGAAAAGGCTTCAATTTAATATTTATCTTTAAAAGCCTCGATATCAATATATGTATTTGAATCCAATTTTTTTAGCTTTTTTACATGTCCATCAGGAGTGATAAAATAAAAAATTTAGATTGATGCTGATTCTCTGATGGCAAATGAAATGTAGAGTGATTTCATTCTATGGTAATGTTTATTTTATTTTAGAAACTATCACATTTAAACTGGTACTTACCCATACTAACACGTTGCTTGCATAAAAAGTGTTTATAGTTCTTCAGGTATATTAAGAGATGAAACATGTGGTGTTTTTCCACAACATTTTATTGTGAAATTATTCCTTATAGGAAGGTGAACTATAATAAATATGAGTACAGTAATGTAAGATTTCTTTTGAAGTGCATTATTTTCAAACTTGTTTCTTGTGTATATAGTGAAACCAGCACCACTAGAAATTAAACCTTTATCAGAATGGGAAGAATTGCCAGCTCCAGTTAGATCTCCAATCACCAGAAGTTTTACACGAGAGTAAGTCTTTGCCTTCTATATTCATGCTATATTTCTTTTCATTCAACAGTGACCATAACACCTATGTGTACTGTCAATATAAGTAGCTTTATGCATGTTCCTGGCTTTTGCCAGACAACAGAGAATCTAGGAAGGGGTTATGAAAAAATCAAGATGGCAGTCATGACCACTATGTTGACTTTTCTGGACCCCTCCGCCCCAAAGTCTTGGTTACGTCGCTCAGACCTTCCTATAGAATCCTCATATGGCCACCACGATTTTAAAAAAATCTCTTCAGGAGCAGTTTATATTTTATTCCTAGGTGCTTTTGTGTTCCTTATCTCTTGAATTATCATTCAGTTTGATTATTATAGCTCCTTTATCTTACGGTTCTTGCTTTTAAAAGGAAATATGGAATAGAAATACTTTAAACAAAATACAGCAATATATTCCTGAACAGCATAAAATAAATGCATGTTTAAAATATTTTTCTTCATTTAGTTCTTCCAGGTTTCCATTGTCTCCCCGACCAGATTCAGTTCATAGTACAACTTCTAGCAGTGATTCACATGACAGTGAAGAGAATTATGTAGCCATGAATCCAAATCAGTCCAATGATGATCCAGTAAGTGGTTTTGCTTCATAAATATGCCCTTTCTTTTAAAATTATGTCATACTTTCCATTTTTAGGTGGGGGGGTGTCAGATCAATTAAACATTTGAGGCTTATAAAAGTGAAATAATATTTAAAATAATATGGGCATCATTTTGTGGCTACGCTTAACAAATTCTGGGGAAGGGGATGATGCAGATTAGTTAAGTTTGTTTTTTAAATATTTGTTTGTTTGTTTATTTATTTCATGTATTTCACACCTTGAAATGTTATCATCAATGTCTGGCAATTTAACTCTTTGGGCCAGAGAATGAAGAAGACATTGGAATTAATGAGATCTATGTTGCCTGTTCCTCATTTTCAGCTCTGTCTTTGTCTGAAGGATGGTTCTGTTGATCAGAATTAAAAGCCCAAGTTACTAGCCAAATGCCTATGATAAAGTAGGGAATCTGTGGTTCTCCAGATAATGTTGGATTTCAACTCTCATAATCCCTGCTCATAGACAGTGCTCTTTTGAATCACAAGTTTCTAAACTGGATGATGGGAATCCATAGGAACAACTTAAAAACGGTATCCTAGTCCGACTCTTGTTCTAGCAATAGATATTATTCTTTAAGCATTATATAGCCATATGGATTAGAACCCTTTGATCATCCTTGAATGTATCTAATCACCTTTCAAAATTATTCAGCCATCATCATGTCTTCTGATAGTGAATGAATTCCATCACTATAAAGTATTTATTTAAACCTGTTTTGAATCTCCCATCATCCAATTTTACCATATCAAGTCTTAGTATCATATGATACAGACAAAAAGTATTCCCAGTCAACTTGTCCCATATTGTGCATACTTTTATACATCTTTATCAAATATTTTATTTATTTATTGTGAAGTAATGGTAAGGTAGGATAAGGCAAATTCAGAACAGCTCTTCTGACCTTAATGAACATGTTTAACATGGTTTCAGCCATTCCAGAAGTGTTCTGAACTTAAAATAGTCCTTCTCCAAGTTTGGAATATTTCTGTAATGAACAGAAGAGTGTTGGGTCATTTCTAGTTAAGTCATATTGACTTTAAAACCTTTTGCACATCCCTAATATTAAATATGAGTTTGATTTTAGTTTTTCCTATTGCCATGCCCCTAAATAATGTTAATTAAAGACATTCTTAGTTGTAAAATATTGTTAGATATTCAATGGCATATTACAAAATGAGATTTTTATCTAGTCACAGTACTTCACAATGTTAAGAACTACTTTATATTAAAACTTTTCACTGATACTTACAGTAATTTCAACTACAATTTCAGGTTTTGTTTGGCAGCAGCAGTCTTGATGGGGGAAGCAGTCCTATGGTAAAACCTAAAGGTGACAAGCAGGTGGAATATTTAGATCTGGACTTAGATTCTGGAAAATCTACCCCACCTCGCAAGGTAAATACAACTGCATAGCTATGAACCCACAGATAATTTTGCTCCTGACAATGAATCATTTTATCTGTTAGTTCCATTTTGCAGTCCATCTCTTGGATCAGCAAAACGAAGAAAATACATTTACTTTATATGTTATCTGTCACCACACTGATAAGCGTAGAACTTTTCTTTCACCCAGCTTTCCAAAGCTGGGTATTCAAATACCAATGGAGCTATATGCATATTCACCAGTAGTTTCTTTTTTGTTTTCATAAGCTTGGATCAAGAGTTTTCATCAGTGGAGAAAAACCCAAGCCTCTAGTTTGAAGGGGGTGGGGGAATAAATAAATAAATACATTTTAGCTTATTCCCCTTTCCCCACACATCGCTGCTGACTTCCTCCATTGTGCAGAAAATGGTACAGAAGATGAGGTGGGGACCAGAAGGATTACTGGCAAAAAAATTGTACCCTTTTTTCTACTAGGCACCTCCACTGGATCACATTCTCTTCTGGAAAGGAAGCCTTTTATTTGTAGAAAACATTTAAGTTACCTTGCCTTATTATAACTCTGCGTTTGTGTCCCTTTGAGTCAGTGTTCAGTCCTGGCAACTGCCTGGACAAGTCCTTGCAGTTTTCTTGGCTACATTTTTGGAAGTGGTTTGCCATTGCCTCCTTCCTAGGGCTGAGAGAGAGTGACTTGCCCAAGGTCATCCAGTGGACTTTGTGCCTAAGGCAGAACTAGAATTCAGAGTTTTCCAGTTTCTAGCCTGATGTCTTAACAGTTAAACCAAACTGGCTCACTTATTATAACTCTATTCCCTGTTTATTTCTTCTACAGAAAAAGAGTAGTGTTTCTGGCAGCAGTGTGGCTGATGAAAGAGTCGATTACGTTGTTGTTGACCAACAAAAAACATTAGCGCTGAAGAGTACACGAGAAGCTTGGACAGATGGAAGGCAATCAACAGAATCTGAAACGCCAACAAAAAGTGTGAAATGAAAATAAAAACCTTTGAAGTCCTGTTTAAATGTTCTTAAAGAGAGCCACCATTAACTGAGAGAAGAATACTTCAATGAAATATTTTTCTTCAAATATTTCAATACCAAGCTGATGACAACATGAAATAAAACAGTAACCTGTGGCAAATCTTAGTGATTTTTATGATGTAAAATAGTATTTCTTAGGTCCCAGAAAAACATTTTGGCCTGGAGTTAACTGATTGATAGTATTACAATGTTGTATGCACTTTTTCCTTGTTAAAATGGTGGTTCATCTTTCTCCACCTAATGTACTTTTAACATCCTCCTTTCTCCCTCTGACACTACTATATAACATTCTAGAAAGTAAGCTATGTGTATGATATTGAAATTAAGGTCTGAGGTGCATTTTAATAGCTCAAAGATGAATTAGAAAAAAATAGTTTCACAATTTTAATCTACTTGAAGTGTCAGGAGATGATTTGTTAAATGCCTATGTTTTATATTTAATACATGCAAAGAGTATTTCAGAATCTACAGGTTGCCTTCCTATCAGACAGGGCTGTGAGTTCGTAATAATAGGCACGTGTTTGGATCTACCCTAATGTCTTATGCAATAGCGCACTAGTTAGAGGAGGTCCTTTTGAATTTTCACTGAGAACAGTGTTCTTTGTTTGGCAAGCAAAGATTCTGCAGGGAGGGATCTTTGCCCAGAATATCACATAACCCTCAATATCACTGAAGGTGTGCAGTAATAACTGATCTCACTCTTTAACTGCAAAGTATAATATTTACTTTATTTACAAAAGACAGAAACTCTGACATCAGGTACGTACCTAGCACCATTGTGCTAGCTCACATATCAGGTTCAAACAATGTGCTTTTAATTTTCTACTGCAACCAAACCTTTGTATTGGTTTTTAGTATGAAAATTTGTGAGGCGGTTTGACATTCACTGTTTATAGTACTAGAAGATACTGTGATTTTTGTTTTGTTTTGTTTTTAAATCAGATTGCAATACAAATGGAAATATTATGTCTTGACACCACATGAATCTTTTTAATGATCTTTGTTATGCCTAGTTTCTTGCTTGGCCTTATATTTAAATTCCTATGCAAGTGATATTTTTTAACATCTTCTTGTTGTTTTTTAAAGAAAATACAAGATTTATCCCACTTTTTAAAAATTCCTTCAGGTACAGAATTCATTTTGAGTACTTTGATTTATTGATTCACTATCCTTACTCCAAATAGACGCTGCCTCAACAACTAAAAAGGGAAAAGGTAGTTCTCTTTAAAGTACAATTTTAAAAAATCAGTTGTGATGGAAAAATCTACTAATTCATTCTTACGTGGTTATAGTAAAGAAAATATTGTATTCTCCATACCTCCTAAATATTGAATTAAAATAGAAATGCTGGCCTTAATACTGTGTTTAATTTCCCAACACAATCCCAACTCAACAGTATGTAAATTTTCTTTATTCCTAACAAGGTTTCTTTTTAAATTAGAAATATTTTGGTGTTTTAAATGTTTTTTAAACTAAACATTGCATTTTGAGATGAATTTTAAATAAATTCAAGTTGTTCTGCTTCATGTGCAAGTCATTGATTGAGACCCACAGGCATAGTTGTTAACCTCTAATAACTTCTGAATGTAGATTATTAAAGAAGATAACCTATTAGAAAGTGTGTACTGTTTGAAGAAAAATATGGTTGTGTTTTAAAAACTTAGATGAATGGGTGTTTACAGAAGATTGCCAGTTTTTAGTGCTTCTACTACAATAGCCCACTTTCCCTCTGAGTTCAACCCACTTCAGAGGAGGAGTTGCGGGGGGAAATGGGGGGATGGAGCGCAGTACATGCTGCTGTGAACTCCTGAAGGAAAGTGGATAAGTCTAAAAAATAAATTAGTAAATTATGGATGTTGAAATCCATATATCTGTAGGGTACTCTGGAACTATAAAGGCAGCCATAATGTGTACAAAATGAAAATGCCGCTGTTCTGGGGATGGGGAAACCTAGCTCTCTTGCATTGGTGAACAGATGTTTTCTTACGAACCGAGAAGCGAGATTACAGGATAGCAATGTGGGGAGCCAATGCTGAATTTTACTTTAAAACATGTGTTCGCTTCTTTGTTTCATGTTTTTAATTTGGAGTAGAGATCACATTTTAAAAATAACGAAATCCCTTTCCTTTAGGAACCAGTTCCAGCAGATCCACCCTGCCAATGGAATGAGGCAGGGCATGCTTTTTACTACTTTTTCACTTCACTGTTCGGTATCATTTTTTCCTGAATATTAAAAAAAAAGATTGAAGATTTGCAATAGAAGCAACAACTTGCAAGAAGGATAATAGGAATATAATTAGTTACATTACCATATTTTGTTTTAATTACTATTATTCATGCAGATATAAGCAAAATGAATTTAAAAAGGTTTAGGGAAATAATTTGGAGTTCTAATGCTGAAAACAATGTAAAGTTCTAATGCAAAACCAATACCTTTGTATTGTTAAAAATTACACAAATGTTTTGATAACCCCAACCCCCCTCCCCAAAACAAAAGAATTAACTGATTGTAGAGCTTGAACAGATCATCAAAAGATCTGAATTGGTGAGAAGAAAAATATGGCCCTGTGCTTTAGGATTACAGTGGCTCCATGCTTGTTATGCTGAGATATAAAGAGGAAGCAATTGGAACATTAATATCTGAAGCTTCTCTACTGATGTTTTCTATTCATGCTACACATTTCATTTGCTGTATTAGTAATAAAATCTGGGAGCCCTGGTAACCTCTTGGAAAGCGGTAACACTGTAGTAGTTCTTATCCAAAAGCAGATGTTTTGATAAATCTATGAAGCCCATAAGTGATAATGAGCTCCCTCTTGTGTAACTGGAGAGGACTTTTTATAAATCACTAGTCCCAGACTGATCACAACAGATTTATTAGAAGACCATAACTAGAGCATGAAATAACGTATACCTAAACGTGATGTATCTTTCTAAGATCAGGTACTGTATGCCTAATTCCGGGAAACAATAGAATTTTTTTTCTTTAAAAATATAGTTATCAGCAATTGGGAGGAAAAAACATTTTAGATGTCTGTATTAGTATCTCTTTACTGTTCTATTCATATGGTAGGTTTATTCATAGGGTTCCCACACTTGGACTGCAGAAATCCAGATAACAGCAGAATGTTACAGAAGCGTCTTTTTACTGCCATCTAGGGATCATCAGAATTTTTGCAGTCCAGAACTGATAACTGTTGCCATAGTAAAAGTAAGCCAATGCCATTATAGCCTCGTCTACTTATCTCCTGCTATTCCAGTCCTATTATAATGACCCCAAAGTTGCTGTTTATCAACTCCCTCTGAGGACATTGAAACACAAATTTCAACTTCAGTTTGTTAGATTTGGGGCTCAATGAATCTATGCTGAAAGCTCAATTTTCAATACTTTAATTTTTAAATGATTTTATATCAAGGTTTTCAGGAAAAGATTGCATGGGGTCATGTTGATACACCTGTCCACTCCCACCCCCGCCTATAACAGTTTTATAATTGATATTTTAAATAACTCAAGATATTCAGAAACCACAATGTTTTCCGGATTCTACTACCTCGGGAGAACA